TCTCAATGTCACTCAGCTTAGGCTTTTGAATTTAAGCTACAACCATTTGAATGGCTCTATTCCTAAAGCTCTTCAGAGTTTTCCAAATTCTTCCTTTGAAGGAAACTCACTTTTATGCGGACCTCCCCTAAAGCCGTGCTCGGGGGTTCCTCCTAGACCTTCTCCTGCCTTGTCTCCACCTCCATCATCAACTCCAGGGAGACAAAACTCAAAATACAAATTGAGTAAAATAGCTATCATTGCAATTGGTGTTGGAGGAGCTGTGGTGTTATTCTTTATTGTTCTTGTCATTGTTATTTGTTGGGTGAAGAAAGAAGGCGGCAGAGGCTCCAATGTGATCAAAGGAAAGGGCTCTGGTGGTGGCAGGGGTGAGAAGCCAAAAGAAGAGTTTGGGAGTGGGGTTCAAGAACCTGAGAAGAACAAGTTGGTTTTCTTTGAGGGCAGTTCTTATAATTTTGATCTTGAGGATTTGCTGAGAGCTTCAGCTGAAGTCCTGGGAAAGGGTAGTTATGGCACTGCCTATAAGGCCATACTGGAGGAGTCAATGACTGTTGTGGTGAAAAGATTGAAAGAAGTTGTGGTAGGGAAGAAGGACTTTGAACAGCAGATGGAAATTATGGGAAGAGTTGGACAACACACAAATGTTGTCCCCCTTCGCGCTTATTACTATTCAAAAGATGAAAAGCTTCTGGTTTATGACTATATCCTAGGTGGTAACCTACACACACTCTTGCATGGTATGCATTTCTTTTCCTTAGTTTCTGTCAGATCTTCTAAAGTTAACTCTTTTTTCTTTCATTTTTGGTAGAAAATATGTTTTTTGCTACCCCTTTTGTAGGCTTCTTAATGTTATTGTATCTGCCAAAACTAGCTAAAATACTTTACTTCGCCTTAAATTTGATCTGAATTTCATTGCAGGTGGAAGAACGGGTGGAAGAACTCCCTTAGACTGGGAGTCCCGGATAAGAATATCCCTTGGAAGTGCCAAAGGACTGGCTCACATTCATTCTGTTGGTGGTCCCAAATTCTCACATGGAAACATCAAGTCCTCAAATGTTCTTCTCAACCAAGATAATGATGGCTGCATTTCTGATTTTGGTCTTGCCCCTCTTATGAACATTCCTGCTACTCCTTCTAGAGCTGCTGGTTATCGTGCTCCAGAGGTGATTGAAACCCGAAAACACTCTCATAAATCAGATGTGTACAGCTTCGGTGTCCTCCTTCTTGAGATGCTTACTGGGAAGGCTCCTCTGCAATCTCCTGGACGTGATGACATGGTTGATCTCCCTAGGTGGGTTCAGTCTGTTGTTAGGGAAGAATGGACTGCAGAAGTTTTTGATGTTGAGCTTATGAGGTACCAAAACATTGAAGAAGAAATGGTGCAGATGTTGCAAATAGCCATGGCCTGTGTGGCCAAGGTGCCAGATATGAGGCCTACCATGGATGAAGTAGTAAGAATGATCGAAGAGATTCGGCAATCTGACTCAGAGAACCGACCATCTTCTGAAGAAAATAAATCTAAGGACTCAAATGTTCAGACTCCATAGATTAACTTTCCTTTTGCTTTATCAGGAAATCACAGTATAAGAGTTAATGCCTGGTCAAGGTTTCTCAAACTGTGTTCAAACCTCTCTGTCCATTTCTTCAATATTTCTCACAGATGTTTTTCTCGTTCTTGAGTTATTTTCTCGTTTAGGTAGGTTGTTTTCCCTGAATTCTTATGTATTAATTAACATCATCATTCAATTAATGATCTTCATTCAAGCACATTTTCCTATGAAAAATTGAATATCGAATGTTTCGCTGGCATGCCAACGTTGTGAAAAAAGGTTGCCGTGTCACACTACTGTGCTACTACATCAATGTGTACACGGCCTGCAAATTGCAGAGTTATTTACCAAATCTCTCTTGTTATAGAAATAGAAATATATTCTATACTAAAAAAATCAATTAAAGAATCAAAATACTTTTTACAGAAAATAATTAAAATAATAACATTAATGTGACATTACTTCACCATTTATTTACTAAATTTCACTCTCATTATAGAAATACAACAATTTCACTGCAATTAGGCCTCAAACTATACCATCATTGCTACTTCTTTTTAGCCTTCTTCACCTTTCCTCTGTTTTTTATGTACTTCCACGGTCACAGTTTTATTTTTTATCTCTCAATTGAGAAAACATTGACGTTATGCTTTTATACAATCGATGCAGAGCTTAATTTGTATTTGAAATGACTCATCTATGAAATAATATTTTTTGTATTCTTAATAATTAAAATATTGCAGGCAGAGTAAGGATAAAAAAATAATAGAAAGCCTTTTGACGCAACAAAAGCTATTACTGTATAATATATGCTTAAGGAATGCTTTTTTGTATGATTATTTTAATGTTAACGAAAATGAACATTGATTTTCTATTTAGAGAGGTTGTTGACAAAACATTTTTCTGTGTAACATACTCTCGGTTACTTAATTGTATTTGTCCAAATAATCTCTCTATTATTCCCTAATCAGTTAAAAGTTTGCATTACATTTCAATTATAATAACTAAGTATATTTAACTGTATAATCCTCTAAGAGCCTCTCTTTGTTTACCTTCCAACCATGATTTGCCACAAATAGCTTTGTGGCTCTGTGGTGACAAAAACTAGAGAAAAAAACCATTATACAAATAACCCATCAATCATGTGAAACCAAGTAACGTTCATTGGACACAGGTGTGCCTGCCTTGAGGGTGGCGGTGATCATGGAGGTGCCACCGAGAAATCCGGCGTTGGAGATGGGTCCGAGCAGCCGGAAATCGAGCGGACACATGGCCTTGGGCGTGCCTGACCGCCGCACGAGCTCCACCCTCAATGATATCGATTCTTCCTTTGACCACCTTGACAACGGACGTTACCACCCATATTGGTTTGCATGTTGTGCATGGTCATGCTTTCTTCTTTTCTTCTTCATCATAGTCATTCTCTTTGCATGCATCACCTACTTGGCACTCCTCAAGTCAGGAATGCCAAAAGTTTACGTAAGAGCCTTCAACATTACGCAGTTTCAAGTTGATGAAGGGTCACAAAAGATGAATGCAGTTATAGGGTTAAGGCTATTGTTCTCTAACGAGAATGATAACCTTAAGCTTTTGTATGGACCACTTTCTATTGTTGCCACAAGTGAGGATATCTTGTTGGGGAAGAACAACGTTGATGCCTTCTCTCAAATGCCCTTGAATGACACCAATTTGGACATGATTATGACAGTGAACAATGATGATGTTAACACAGATGCTGCAGATGACTTGAAAGCAGACATCAAATCCAATGAAACGGTGTTCGATGTGTACGCTGGAGGGAACATTGGTTTTAAGGTTGGAAATTTAGAGATGAACAATGTCCCATTTCTAGCCTCTTGTCATGAAATCAAGATGATGGATGTGGACTCTGGAAAAAGGCCTCCATGTGATGTTAAACTCTTTTCTGGAAGGTAACATTAATTAATTATATGTCTGTCTTTATCTTTGAAATTGGATGCATAGTTTTTTATGTGCTAATTTCCTACCTCATCTTATTTTGATGTGCTAATTTCTCCCTTCAAAAGTTTGCAAGAAATGCTATTAAATGAAACACATTTATATATCTATACATGTTGCTAATGATTCCCGTGAACATTTCTTTGTAAACTAGTGAATGATCCATTGGTTTGCTGTAATGCAACATATACTGAATAATTAAGCACAAAAATGGAAACAATGTTTGATGTTTCGTGTTTTATATGAATGTAGATGCATTATGTTATGCAGGCTTAATTCTTTTACGGAGATTTTGGATACTGCAAAGAATTAGAAGCAAAGAAAGTAGTACATAAGTAGTTTCTTAATTGTTAATGAGTGTAAAATTTTGGTACAGGCCTGCAGCAAATTGAAGAAAGCTACAAACAAGTTTAGCTAAGCGACATTTTATCAACCTTCATGATGGGAGGACAAGTAATTTATTGATAGAGATTTGAGATTTTCAGAAAATAGCCAAGTTTACTCACAAGTCATTAGAGACATCACTTGAGGTTTCTCATTGGAGAAATGATACTATGACACATTTTTACATTCATTTAACACGTGATATAAGGGTAAAATGGTCATAAAAGTATAAAGTTTTGTATTTTTTCAATAAAAAAGAGAGAAAAAAGTAAGTAAAAATAGTGTCAAATAAATGTAAAAGATTTAGGTGTGTCAAAGAATCATTTTTCTTCTCATTCTAGAAAAAATTCTGCATTGTTTATTGTGAACATATATATACATATATGGTCTAATTAAACATTAAATGAGAATACGTTAAAAATAGCTATGAAACTTGAGAATAAAATTCGTTATTTTAAGGACATCACCAAGAATATTATTCAGATCCTTAATTTAAAATTTAGATTTCATTAATTTTTTATTAAAATATATTAATGTGAAATGAGAGAATATAAATTTAAAATATTAAATAAAAGTAATATAGCATAATGAGACGCACAATAAAAAAACGAAAAACATTTATATTGAAAATGAGTTGATACTTTATAAATAATACTAAGTAAACAAATCATGTACAAATCTATTAAAGGAATAGTAAAGTTTTACTGATGTTGCTTAACTATAATGAAGGTTTTACTCTGTAATATAAATGTAAACTATTTTTTTATATTACTAAAATTGAGATTTAATTCAAATTAAGTAACCGAAAAAATAACATCTAAAAAATTCAATATAAGTTTTCTCTAAATTTAATATTTCCTTACATCAGATAAACCATCACAATTGGAAAGTAACATTTAGACTATTTTTAAGGACACCTGTTAAAGAAAAAAAACTTTTTTTATTGCAATACATTAAATGTGTTTTTAATGATTTTAGTATATTTCTAAACGAATTTGAAGGAGCACACAGGAAACCTTCTAGAACCCAACTCTTCTTCTATATATCCCTCTACCCGTCACTTCATTTTCTTCTCCATGCACAGTCAATCAATCCTCGTTGATTTTCAACCCTATCTTTTCTTTTGGTTCTCTCCATCTCCAAGTTTCGGTTATGGCATCGAAACCCATCGTCAACGAGCTCAAGGATTTGCAGAAGGATCCTCCTACGCGCTGCAGTGCAGGTGAGAACCTTTTCCTCTTTCATCATACACTCTGATTTTAACGCTTCGAGTCCACTTTCAATTATTCAACCCTTTATGTTGTTGTCTCTGCATGCATGACCCACCTTGTTTCGAACCATTCGTATTTTGATTCTACCAGTGATGTTTGACTGATTCAATAAAACAAAACCTAAATCGTTGTTTTCTGTTGCATGGTATGGTTCTTGTGTCTGCTTTTTGTTAAACTTAGCCAGATGTGCTTATACTGATCTTGTAAGAATTTGTTGTCCAAAATGGTTTGGGAATGATTAGGAGACATGTTTCAAATTGTTGTTGCCGTCGTGTCGCGATTGTTGATTTCGAGGAAAATTACAGTCAAATGCTGCTTAAGTGATATCAATTACAGTTGTGATGGTGTTGCGGCGTCTGTTAGGATGCTGCAGGGTTTGTAGAGGAAAACGACAGAAAAGGCATATAAAAACTTTGGATTTCAATCGGACACTTGGATTTACCAACGAGGTTGGCTTCCTCTTTATTTTGGAAGGGAATAAAGGCGTGAATCATGGTGTACATATGAAATGTGATGTGCGTCAAGCTTAGTATCAAGCAATGAGTCCAGCAGGTTTGCCCATCCCATTCTTATTCTGGAGATTGTTTGGGGTGATATCTCCCTTGATTTCATTACTGGAATGCCAAAGTGATGCCACCGTCACAGTGTTATAAAGTAATTTTTGGTAGTTGTTAATTGCCTAACTAATGGTGGCATATTATTCTATCCAGAATGTTGCCTCGCTTCATGATTTCCCAAAGTTGATTATAAGTGATAGGGACCTTCGTTTTTGAGTGAATTCTGGAGTGAGTTATTCTGAGTTTAGGGAATGGTTTTGCACATGAGCACCACATACCACCCTCAAAGAATGGCTTAATAGAGGTGGTTAATCGATTTGCAGAAACCTTCTGTTCTTACGGGTGGAATTTACTCATAAGACACGTTTTCAGGAAACACTACTCAACTATCTTCTTGTTCTTCTCAATTTGAGATGTATCCAGTCATCTTACTACAAAGGCTAAAATGTTTTCTCTCTTCACACTGTCCAGTGTTTGAACGTCCAGGATGTCTGCAAAGACACTTTAAGTTAAGTATGTGCTAAGAAAGCGCAATAAATACTATATTAAATACTTTATGCTTACCTATGTGAGATTTTACCGGGATGAGCCTAGATTATGTTGTCGAATGTTTGAATGTCTAGGATGTCTGCAAAGACATTCTAAGTCAAGTATGTGCTAAGAAAGCAATAAATACTATCTTAAATACTTTATGCTTACCTATGTGAGCTTTTACCTGGATGAGCCTATATTATGTAGGTTTGGGCCTTTCCTAGGTGGTTTAGGAGTTTTCTTAACCTAGCTTGTTTATCTAATCCTTGATTAACCACATCAATATTGTTTTGGGATGTTGACAGGGCCAAGGTGCATATTGTTATTATGATTGAGATATTTGTGCTGAGGTGATGTAGTCTTTGGTTGACGATATCGTATCGGCCTCATACAACACACTAAGCCCCCTAAGCTTGAGATATGTTGGATTTGAGAGTGTTACATTGGTTATCTGCTGTTATAGACATAGTAGCCCCTAATCTCAAGGAACGTGGCAACGAAAAGACTTGATGAATGATGTGAAGGGTTGTCAAAGATGACCCTTGCTTGGGAAGGGCAAGGGTCATGTGTTGTAGTCATTGGATTTGAAAGGATCTAATGGTTCAGGATTGTGTAGAGTAAATGAGAGGGCTTGTCCAAGTGTCTATAAAATAGGGGTTCATTTTGCAATTGGGTACCACCTGTATCGAAAGGCCTGATCTTCATCTGAAGTGGGGCATTGTATTACTTACTTTTCCAAGTATGGTTTCATGTACTAATCCCGATATGCCTTCGAATAAATTCGAGGGGGTTGATAGATTTAAGGATAAGGTAGAGTCTTTGGCAACTAAGTTTTCTGTTAGCAACAATATTAGTGTGAGGAGTCCCCTTTAGCCACAGAGTGGGCCAAGATTGAGATGCCTCTGTTGTTCTGTGTACCAATGATTGTCTATTGTTCAAACATTTATATGTTGGGTACATGCCAAAGTTCCCTTTCTACTGGACCTGAGATCCTGTTAAGTATCATGATTGGCCTAGAGACATGATGACTAACAATGATAAGAGGATCGTGGGGATCCTCGACCAACTTCCTCCACAACTCACTACTAAGAAAATTGTTAATGTTCTTGTTTCCTTGCATCCTCGCATGGATTTGTATGGTATCCTTTATTTATTTAATTATGGCCCACGTTGAAGCTAACCTTAGTAAGAAGAATCTATATAGGGTCTTGTGGCAAAAGCTGATTGCTGAGGGCAAGATTGAAGCTAGGGACTTGCGGCGGAAGTAAATTGTTGAGGGCAAGATTGTTGGCAGTGGTGGATCTTCTGCCGTTGTCGATGTCCAATCAACTATGGTGGAACTTTGTCTCCCTGGAAAAATGAAGAGGGAAATGTCATCCACTGAGCAGCCTCTTGTTGAGGAATCTACTAAGCGAGTTAGTGGAGGCCCTAACAGGGGATTGATAGCTTAGTTGGGTACCGAGATGCGTATCCGCAAAGGTTTCAACATCTCATTGACAGATGCTGAAGCTAGTATTATTAATTGATTAGAACCTATAGTGGTCTTGGATGCTTTCATGGAGTTATAATGTTGCGCTTTAGTTTTGGGTCAGTATTTTGGCACTACCTTGGTTAAAGAGACTGATGAAAGGGAGAAGATGGAGGCCGAGTTGTTTGAATTAAAAAGCAAAATGTTTGATTTGTCTATCGATGTAGGAAATTTGGAAAAGGAATTGTCATCTAGCTTGAAGTCTTGGAAAAATCGTTGTTTCCAGGCTAAAGAGAAAGAGAGGAGTGTTAGGCGTGAACTAATGGATATGAGTGTTGCCCATGTTGAAGAGCAACATGCTTGGGAGAAAACATCTTTGGAGCTTGTGGAGTTGCAACAATACATCTTGGTTGAGCATGAGGAAGGTTTTCATAAAGTGTTCTGGCAAGCTGCCCTACTATTTGACATCCTAGCCAACGAGCGATTTGATGTAAAAAATGATGTCTATAAAAAGTCATTGGTATCAATCAATGACATCCCTAAGGTTGACGTTGTTCCTCTGACTGAAGAGGGTGGTCGAGCCAAAGAGAATGGCAATGACAATCATACACTCCTAGTGGCAACCTTGCCCCTAGTTTTTTTTGTAAAAGTTTGTATCATAGTGACATATGATCGATTTTGCTTAATAAATGAAGTTCTTCTATCCACTTCAAAGGTTGTTGTTTTTTTTTACATTGTTTGCATTAATTACTCGTATATGATGTGTGCATTTGTACCTTATACGGTGATTGTTGTTAAACATCTTCCCATGTAGAATGTCCATGTAATTGTCTTAGTTAACTAGAGTTTTCATGATCGTGAAATTCTCAATTTCAACCAGTATTACCATGGGGTTGTTCTTCTTGGGATCTATAACATTGAAATCAACATGTGTAAGGTTATTAAGGGGGTATCTTGGTGGAATTGTTACAACATTCACTGATTGTACCACATGCAAGTGTCCTTTATGAGCCACTATCGAGGACCTATCTCTTGCAAATCCTTCAGAGATGGTGTTGATTACTCCACCCTTAAGGGCGGTTGTGGTAATTGTCCTAGTCACGATCATAGTGATTTTCCCTTTAGTTATCACTTTCATATCTCCTTGACTTACCTCTAGATCCTTTGACTTCCTCCTTCTAACAAAATGTCTAAGATGTCTAGTTGGAATCAACTCCTCAATCTTATCCTTGAGGGTTAAGCATTCATTAGTGGTACATCCAAAATTTTGATGGTAACAACATTGGTGGCTGAGGTCTGAGTTGGGAGGGGTTTGCATCTTCTTGGGTGTCACTAAAAGGTGTGTATTGAGGGCTTCCTTTAAGATACACGACCTCGTGACATTCAATGGTGTGTACCATGCAAATTTTGGGTGTTCTTGGTTCCATGATCCAAGGTCTTACCTTTTTGGTATTGTCTTTGGGTGTAGCTTATTCTCAAATGAGTTGCTTTCGTCCCCTATCTTATTTCTAAAGTTTTTCAGCTCCTTCAGCTGTATAAGTTTGGCTGCCTTCTGCCTTAACTCATCCAATTAGTTTCGGGTTTCATGCACAAACTATCTGCAAAGGGTCCCGACCTCAATGTAGTTACCATATGATGCAAAGCTACTTTAGGGTTCAAGTTGTGGACATTGAGGGATATCTTTCCAAACATCTCCATGAAAATCTGCAAGGATTCCTCCTTTTCCAGATATTGACTAAGGCTATTAAGGTGAATTGGTGTGGTCAACTTGTTGCAAATTGTGTAACGAGTTACCAGGGTGTTGAAGCAGTCAATGGAAAAAGGAAGGAACCTAGTAAACCAACTCAAAGATACTCCTTTAAGCGAAGTGGGGAAGAACCGGTAGAATATGGTGTCATCAATTGTATAAAGATTGACTTGTGTTGTGTCAAGGTTTGTGCTTCCATCATATCGGTCCAAAGTGAAGGCCTTCTAGTTGGTTGACAACGGGGTTTTTGCAATTCCATCCACAAAGGGATTCCAATGTGTACTTGAGGCTGTCATCATGGTGCTCATTGTCGGGTTAGTATGTTGAGTGCTGCCTACTTTGGTCTCTATTTTATGTTGACTGGCTTCTACTCACTTTCTCTGCATACGTGCATTTTCTTCTCCAAGGTTGACCATTTCTTCAACGTAGTGCTTCACCAACTCTGACAACTCTTTTTGGAGTTCTAACATCAGAGTTATCTTGTTACTAGATGGTTTTGGTACGGATTGCTTGTTTGTCATATTCCTAGTGAACACCATGTAGTCTAGATATATATCAATCTCATGGTGGATGTCAAATGTTTTTATTGAGCCGAAATATACTCATAAGACACGTCCATAGGAAACACTACTCAACTATCTTCTTCTCAATCTGAGATATATCTAGTTATCTTACTGCAAAGGTTGAAATGTTCATTCTATTCGTGCCTTCCAATGTTTGAACGGTCGGGTTACCTGTAAAGACACTCCAACACTTAATCAGGTATGTGTGTATGAAAGCAATAAATGCTATATTGAATATGTTATTCTTACCTTGTGAACAATGTTATTTATAGTACCTCTGTGGGCTTTTACTGGGATAGGCCTAGATTATGTAGGTGAGTGCCTTTCCTTGGTTGTTTAGGGTTTTTCAAACCTGACTTGTTGTCTAATTCTCAATTAACCATATTAATCTTGTTTTGGGATGCTATTAGGGTCGAGGTGCATATTGTTGTCATGACTGAGATGCCTCTGTTGCAATGTCATCTTGAGTTGACGACATCATTTTGGCCTTATACAACACACTAACCCCCAACTTGAGATATCTTGGATTCGAGAGTGTTACTTTGCAAAGAAAATTTCCTTTGTTTGGTTATCTAACCGTTGTAGTCACCTTCCTTGTTGCTTTGCTTCAGAGCAAATTCACAATGGTATATGTAGCTATGGACTGCGATGAGGCTTTTTGCCAACTCAAATTTCATTTGTATCGTGCTTAGCAAACAATGAAGAAATATGTTGATGCTCGCCGGAGACATGTTACTTATCCTCTTGGAGATTGGATAATTGTGAAGCTTTCTCCTCATAGACAACAATCTGTCTCTTGTGTGGTCAGCCTCCAAGCTGACTCCTTGTTACTATGGATACTTTCAGGTGCTGTCATGTGGGGGAGAGTACACCAACAAACTTGAGCTTTCATTTCAGACTTTGATTGTATTCACCTGATTTTTCACTTTTCACAGTTCAAATGATCAGTGAAGAGTTGTTCTGCTATTACAACTTTGCCTCCAGGGCTTGTTGTTACTAATTTGGAGCCCCCTAGTCTTGAAGCTTTTTTGGCCACTAGGACAGGCAACAATGTGCAGGAATGGCTGATCCTGTGGAAGTCTCATGGGAAATGGCAACTTCTATTTATGGAAATCCCAGTTTTTGCCTTGAAGACATGGAAACTTTAATACCCGGTTGTATTGGTAGGAATCTACCTTCTAAGTGGGATAGGCCGTTTTAGACATGTCATCTGAAAGTCCAAACAGTATGATGCCTAATATTATCTATTAGTGGAGAGTTAGCTAGAGGAGAGGAGTGCTGTGTGTTTTATGTGGTGATTGGGGAATCGTTTGTGAGGGGATGATATCAGATTTGGAAAAAGAAATTGAAGACAAGGGAATATTTCTGTGACTTTGGGGAGCATTGTTCTTATTCCATTACCGATTCTTTTTTCTTTGTTTTTTTCTTGTTTTTTTTTTTTTTTTCTTTGTTTTTTTCTTGTTTTTTTTTTTTTTTGCAGCACCTCTTATACAAATTGTATTGCCTTTTCTCGCACATTTAGTGAAGATTGGTGTTGGAAAGCATTCCTAGTAGCAAAATTAAATTGTTGGATGTTATTATCGTCTTGAGTTTTCTCATGTTAAGAATTTTCCTGTTCTTTGCTTGTTTCATTCCTGTCTTTTGTATGCATTATTTTTCTTGATATGTGGACTGATGATCTTAAGCATCCATGCTGGCTGCTAGTCAAGTTTGTTAATATCTTTAACATTTGTCAAGTGTTATAGTTTAGAAATGCTGAATTTAACGTCTTTAAGTACTGTAGGTTGCACTTAGGACTAAGGTATTCCACCCAAACATCAACAGTAATGGAACTATATGTCTTGACATTCTCTAAAAGAACAATGGAGCCCGATCCTAACCATTTCTATGGTTTGATATTACTTGTTTTTCTTAATGTTTTGTGATTTTGCATAACGGTTTTAGCATTTGTCACTTACTATGCATATCTAGCTGTAATTTCTGTGTTACCATATCCTCTTACTTTGACATTCTACATTGGAATAATATGTATTTCTGGCATATTATTGCTCGTGGCTACGAAGTTCATGAATAAAAACCTTGTTACGGCCGGAAATATTAAAGTATGAACTTTTTTTTAGCAGAGTAACTCCCAAAATCACTTCTACTTAGGCTATAAATGTTGAGCAATTGGAGCTTATACTCAAATCGAGGAATGAGATTATTTTCAAGCATAAAAATCGTCTATCATGTACTGTACCTTGTTTAGTTTCTATTCATATGTGAAACTGTTGTGTCATGATGTTTTAATGTCTCGAAATTTAATTAATGACTTGTTTACTGCTTATGTTAAAGAATTATATTGAAAGAGTGATGGTTATTCATTCCCTCTTAACATTCTCGTGTCACTTTGTACGGTAAGGAGAGAAGTGTGGAATAGATTGAGTGATGTAATGGAAGATGGAGAAAAAAATGTCGTGAAAATGTGAAGTGGAATTGTGGAAATAACATTAGCTTTTGGAAATTTATTGATTTTGTAAGAGTTCGTTGTAGTAATCTTTTAGTTATAGTAATCTTTTAGTTATAGTAATCTTTTAGTTATAGTAATCTTTTAGTTATAGAAGTAGCGTAAAATAGAAGTCTATTCTTTCCGTTGACTTAAGGTATAATTTTCAAGTCACCTTAATGAGTACATATGATTCAGAGATATTTAACTTCTTTAATTGATCTGCGTAAGGAATAATGTCAACCGCATGTATGACATGATGGCGCTGTTTCAAAACTTGAAAAAACTGACATCCACTATTATAGGTTCTTTTGTCTATTTGCTCACTGTTGACGGATCCCAACCCTGATGACTTGCTTATGCCTGAAATTGCACACACATGTACAAGACTGACAGGGTTAAGTATGAAGCCCACTGCTCCCAGTTGGACACAGAAATATGCTATGGATGATAATTCTCCTCCTGTAGCAGCTCAATCATGTTCTGAGGAAACAAAAGATGCTTTTCATGAAATATTGTCTTTACTTGTCAGTGAAACTGAACCATGGTAAGTGAATTAATTATCACTTGTGAGTATTTCCTTTGAAGACATTGGTCATGGGATGAAATTGTATTATAATGTCGCACAAGCTTTCTGCATGTAGACATGCTATTCCAAATGAGTGGTAATTAAAGAAACTATAGTTATGAAAATGTAATGGACCAACTGTCTCTTGAAGCCGACTTTTATCTTTTTCATTTTCTGGTAGAAACAAAAGAATTGTCACGATTTGGTGAAAAAAAAAAGAGTTGTCCTTCTGGAGAGAGAGCTGTCGTGATTCTCGTCGCGGACGTGCTCTGACGTGCAGCAAACTGAAAAACTAAAGGAATGGAGGAAGTAAATTAAAAGGATCCCCTACACAGGAAAATACTCCTATTTTTGTTCCAAAGTCATGCAAATGAAATGAAAAGATCCTGAAACACTGTTGTACGATATTATGTTTGACCTCAGAATTTAATGTCTAGTGCAGAAACATGCCTGCTGGAAACCACTCGGTATGCTGCTGCACGACAGAGACACGTTCAAGGTGAGGTCACCACAAGTAGCTTCGATTGAAGTCAATGGTAAATAATATAATATCAGAACAGTGGCTGATTAAAGCAGCGAGGGGACTAATCCGAAGAGTCATGTCTTAATTAACAAGCAAAAGTAAAGGAGGGGTGATTCATCTGTAAATGCAATGCATCTTGTGGCCTCAGCGTAGATAATGTGAACGTCCTCGACTAACTAGCATGCTTACTTGTCTTTGCTTCCTTTTCAAGCCAAAACCTAACATAATTAAACTTTTTGAGGAAATTCCTCCTCCCTACAATACTTGGACCCTTCTTATAATGTTAACGTTTTCTTTCTATTGTTTAATTCATTCATAGCTATTGTTCATCCGCCTCTTTCCTCACGAGGATGTTGATTTATCTATTGGGAATGTCTCTTGGCAAATTTATAATCTCTTATGGCAATTTCCCCTATTCGTTTACCATTTTTCGTATGATTTGAGCGCTAGACAAGTGGTTCAAGCCAATTTGAATAAAGAGTGTGGGTTCAAGTCATAGGATCAAAGTTGCATGTGTAGCATTACACTGTGTCTCTAAATTACGTGACAATATTTTATCTTGTAGTCACCCAAAAGTAAAATAGCACATTAAAAATTTAAAGAAACCTTGACCTTTTTATCTTTTTATTTGTATGATTGATTATATATTCCAACTCAATCAGGTACTGTTAATTAAGTAACCCCGTTCAGCGGTGTCTGACAGAGAATAGACAAAGTCTGCAAAATATTGTACTGAAAGATATTACTGCCATCTGCAAAGTCATCATGGGTTGGATTAGCCCAATGCTCAACGGTATACCATACTTTCCACTACTCATTCACTCACCCATTTCTTCCTTTTCCTTTTATTCTTCTTTTATTCACGCCATGCCACGCTTTAAAAACAAACTATAAAAAGTCACGTCAAGTTCGCAGTTTCAAGGTTTTGCGTCGCCTCCTTCTACCTCCCATTCTTCTCTAATCACATAATTACAAAATTCCACCATCCATGGAACCATAAGAATTGCGTGGTTTCAGATTCACCAACGTGGAAAGATGCCATGTTCTTTCTTTGCACATCGCTTTCCTACAATCATTTTTCCAATCCTTATATAAAATAGAGAGACATTATATTGTAAACATTCAAGAAACATGTAAACATAATATTAAAATTCAGACTATTAAGCTCGTTTTGAATAATAGATTGCTCCCTGAATTAAAGGGACAAAAATTGAAAATTCTTTTGATAATAAAGTGAGATTATAGTTTAGTTAAGAGAAATGGACACATAAAATAGATTTTGGTGGCAAAAAGATTTTATGTTGCCGACAGCGACATGAATGTACACACACACAGTGATTCATGACCCTCCCACACACACAGTGATTCATGACCCTCCCCACTAAGACCCTCACTCACTCACTCACTCCATTTTCCCTCGAATCTTCTCTCTCTCTCTCTCTAATCCTTCAATTGGTTACCGAAATGAAATCCCTGACCTTCACGAGAAAAATATTTGGTTCATCCTCCAATGGGGACACACCCCGTGCTGCACCATAAATACCCTTTAATCCTACTTCACTCACCTTGCTTCCTTCTCTCCACACTCTTCGCCTCTTTCCCGCCAACCTCTCTAACAACATCTTCTCTCTCTCTCTTCCTTACCCTTTGGAATAACCACCCAAAACCTCCCTCTTTCCTTTTTCACTCTTCCTTCATGCAATTAAAACCATCACCTTTTCCCTTTCTTCATTCTCTTTCTTAACATGAGTGACACAAACCAACCTTTCATGTCCCTCCAACCAACCATGAATCTCTCTCACCCCTTCAACCCACCAACCTCAAGCTCTAATTTTTACACCCACCCACCATGCAAACCCCCCAAAAACCCCCAACCACCGCACAAGAAGCTCCTCCGGGTCATCCTCACCGACCACGACGCCACCGACTCCGAATCCTCCGGCGACGACGACGGCCCCAAAAGCCCATCTAAACACAAAAAAGTGAAAAGAGAAATCACCCACATCACTATAAACTTTCCCTTTATCCCGGAACCCCCAACGATAACCCCTTCTTTTTCCACCAACCCCACCCCTTTAACCCAACCCGAGAAGCGGCCCGCCGCCCCTCGCCGCCGGAACAAGTTCCGAGGTGTCCGGCAGAGACCATGGGGACGATGGACCGCCGAGATCCGCGACCCGACCCAAAGAAAACGGGTCTGGCTCGGTACCTTCGACACGGCGGAGGAAGCCGCCGCCGTGTACGACGAGGCCGCCGTGAAGCTCAAGGGGCCTGACGCCGTCACCAACTTCCCCGTCGCCGCTAACGGAAAAAGAGAACTCCACGTTTCACCCCCGGAGGCGGCCTGTTCCGGCGACGGTTTCGCGTCGCCGACGTCTGTCCTCACATACTGCGACGGAGACTCCTCGCCGTTCGACGGTTTCCGTTACGGCGAGGTCGATGCATTCGGGTTTGACATCGACGCGCCGTTTAGTCTGACGGATGTTAACATGAGCGTGCTGAATCAGCGCTACGCGAAGGAAGAGTTCGGCGAGTTTGACCCGGACGAGTTCCTGACGTGGCCAAATTAAGAGTCATTTCCTCCTTTCGCGAAAAACTCAGGGACTGTTTAGTAATTGTACTAAGTTTTTGTCGTATTCGGTTTTGTATTTCGTAGAATTCCGAAAGTACCCTCGGGACTAAGTTTTTGTGCAGCTTAGAAGAGAGTGAAGAGTGCTAGAGCTATAGAAGTGAGCATTTTGGTAAATCTAATTAGAGAATTTTGTCCTATGCTAATTTGTGTAATTAATTCCAATCTCATGAAAAAGAAAAAGATAGAGAGTGAGAGTGTATATGATGGAAAATATTAGAGAAGGCCTCTATTGTCGTTTGTTATATATATTTATAAAGTACAATTTTTATTAGATTATTACCTTTTTTTTGTCATTCTAATTCCTTGTTTGGTGATGGCAAAACTATGATTATAATGATTTGCTTTTACTTTGGAAGATTTTGCTCCTATGATTGGCCTTTTGGGATTCTTTAGTTAGTTGGAGATTTCCAATGTACAAGTTTTCTTCAAAGTATAAGTAGACCAACTTATATATTAATATAAATAATTGAGATGGACAAAACTTTCTTTTATGAATGTTTCTTTAATTGTAAGGTAAAGAACAATTATTTGCATAAGTCGCCTCAACTTGCTATTTTAAAATCTCTCACTTTTTTCTTTTACCTATAATTTTTTTTTATATATGTTGAAACTCGTGTATTTTATGAAACGGCTTAATTACCTACTTAGTCCCCATGTTAGGAGGTAATTTTCTGTTTAGTACCCGGTTTTAAAGATGTAGGCATTTGGTACCTATGTTTTGAAATAATGCATCTTCATTAACGTCTTTAATTTCTCGCATCAATTATAACGCCGTTAACTGGATAGGATTGAATTGATAAAATTACCTCGTAACATGGAGACTAAGTAGGTAATTAAGCCTTTATGAAACTGCATAATTTTATTTAAGAAAAAAGACTGTAGAAAAAAAAATGTTAAAAACATTTTAGAAGCATTTATCTTCCTTTTACAAAACATCTTTAGTGAGGGTTTGCTTCCTCAGAGGTGACCTTTCACTTTCTTATCTGCTAATCCTTTATCCTCCTTGCCAAATAAAACGACAAAAATTCAAATAAATGTTTTATCTTTATTTATTTTATTATTACAATTCCTATTCTTTTGGGTATATTTTCTCAACCAGATTTATGAGTCGTAATTGGACTTATTTATTTTTAAGAAACAAACTTCTAAAGATTTTTTTTTCACAGTCAATCAATTATAAATATCTATTATGTACTCTCTTTTTTCGTACTTAATAGAAAATCTATAAAAAATCACAGCTTCAATAATTTAGGGAGATGAGATATCTCCTTTAGTCAGACATAGGCCATTAATTTAAAATGGAAAGTACAATGTTATCATATTTTAGATATCTATTGCGTCTATAAACTTAATCCTTATTACTATTTTCCAAGTTAGGTTCAATACTGCTGAGAAAGATTTAAATTATTCGACATAATTATAAATGTTGATAAAAATTTATTTTTTAAATAATATTGGTATTGAAACGAAAATAAGTATACCATGGATATAAATGTATATTTAAACGAGTACAACATGTATATAAACGTATCTAATTTCTCAAAAACTAAATTTCATATTTATTGAATGCAGAAAATGAAATGGATATAAATTTTTTCTTCGATGAGAAAGACATCATCATCTTCCTATTATATGGTACATAAATTATAAAATAAATAAAATATTAAAGTTTTTTATATTTTTATTTATTCATTAATTAATCAGAGTTTACGGATTATTCATTCTGACAGCTGATACAATCAAGATTATTAAAACCAATTAATTTACTCTTCTTCATAAAATATTTACAAAATATATTTTACCTTCTTCAATCATCTTGATGATTAGATTACGAATTTAAAAAATAATTTAATAGTAAAAAAAATATTTGTATTGTAAACCAATTTAACAAAATAAATATATGATTTTTCCATTTGTGTTCCTCAAATTTCAATTGTATTGTTCTTCTTCTTTCTTTTTTTTCTATTTTAACTTTTCATTAAATATTTACCGAATCTTAGCATGTGTCAATAGATAATAATGTGTCAATAACATGTCTATCAATATACATGAGTTTCTTAACATATAATAATGTTATTTAATACGTTTTTTTATTTTTAATATCACAAATGTGGGAGACAAAAATAAAAATAACCATTTTAATACACGTGTCATGCTACATGCCAATTGTGACGTTATATATACCAACAAATAAATAAATTATAAACGAACGAAGAGATTAAAATAATATTGATAATACGAAAATATAATTAAATCTTAAATATATATTTAAGAAATGTATCTTATAAACAATTTTATTTAAACGAGATAGAACTATTAGAGTTTGATAGTTATATATTTAAAACGGAACTTTACATTATGAAATCACGCATCATAGTTAATATTAAAGTAGTTATTGTGAAAAGTAATAAAGTTCATTTTAAGCCAAAAAGTTAATATATGTTGATGAAAGTAATTATAGTATCTATTGTAAAAAGGTTTATAAAACTCGAAATTTTAGGCAAAGATATTGCAAGTGCATGAAAATGGTTGATTTGGTGGTCGTATGGTTGGTCACGAAAACAATGTTAAGTGAAAAAAATCCAAGCCACCAATGTGAATTTCTTATCAATTTATTTATTTATTTATATGTACTAATTTTAATTTATGAAAATATTTTTTATTTTCTCTAGAAAATACTTAAAAATAAATTCATCTAAATAGTTTATTCATCTTAATTAGTGATAAGTCATAGACACAAATGGATTAAGATATTAATAAGTTTATAAGATTTTTTTATTAGTGTAAAAAAAATATTTAATACCGACTATTTTTGATCTTGTATTTCAGTTAAATATTTGAAGTATATCCACATGTAGGTGATTTTTTTTTTACTTTCAATGAGGTTTTAGTTATGGAGGAGACTTAAATGTGAAACCATAATTAAATAATGAAAAATAAAAAATATTAGAATTTGTTTTTTTTAATAACTAAAGCCTAATACATTTCTAATATAATAAATTATTTAATTTTAAAAATATATTAGGCTCCGTAATAACTAAAGCTTAATATCTTTAAAATTAAATAATTTTTAAAGTTAAAAAGTGATTAAGCTTTGATTATATCAAAACCAAACCTAATACCATATTTATGCTTTAATTTTAATAAT